AAAGATCTCTGTTTTTCTAAACTAAGCCACAAGAGATCTTGAAAGTGAATTTTGCAGCACTTACTCATATGCTACAAATCTATAGAGGCTGCAGTTTCTCTTTCTCAAAAAGACTCCAGAGATGCTGAAGATTTCCAAATGTTATAATGACCTGGGAGATAATTTAAGCTGAGCAGGAGTTGCTTTTCTTTTTTCTACTATGAAGATTCATGAGATATTGGATTTAAAATGGCTTTAAATGTTCAATTTACAGCCAAATTCAAATGGTTGGTACCATTCATATATATATTGCCATTAATAAGTTCATGCAATGCCCATGTGCCTCTACTACCTGAACAAAGATTCATTAAAGCCTGGTCAGAAAGAAATTACTCATGTGGGCCTGACTCTCTTGACATTCCCTTGGAATTCTGGGGCAGAGTTTATTCCCAATCTGTACTAAAGAAACATGGCTAGTTGTATTTTGAAATCAGTAATTCTAGTTTACATGAACAACCTACTAGCAGCATGCACATTTTAAAAATGATTTAGGAGAAGATTTGGACCTTCTGAGAGTGCAAGCAGAGCAGAACACCTCTGTAATTCATTAAAACAGTCTGACTTCTTTTCAGGCATTTAGAAAAATCTCAAATAAAGATGCCTTCAAGATAATTCTTTATGGTATCTATTCATTCAAGAGAAAGCAACTCTTATAACAGTTACATCTTTTTCCAGGCTGGGTGGAAAGCTGAAAAAAAGTTGGGTTGCTTTAATAATAGCAGAGAGGTACCCTGTTTGCACAAGGTCTGCAGCATTTCTTTGAATTACACAACCCTGTGTATAGGTATGGATATCAGTGTGAAGGCAGTGAGGTATTCTCTCCAGAATCAGAGAATGTTCATCCCTGAATTTTGCACATAAGATCTTAAGAATCATGGGAAATCAGACCAACGTCCTCCCTAATCATAATGTAGTACTGACTGTATGTACTGAGAAAGGAAAACAAGCATTTGTCAGTGTGTGCAGCGTACACTCCGCCCAGTGGTGCTCCGTGAGACAAAATAAACAGTCCACAGTCCAATGTAGAAAATTTGCACACAGACGTTTACTGTACAATATATATAAAATGTACACCACCAACCTGCAAATCCCTAATACCTCCCCAGAACCCCAACACCAGCCACAACTCCTATCACCAGCGACACTATAACCCATGGTACACTTTGCTATATACAGTGGTTTGTGCTGTGTCATGCTGACACACCCTATAGGTGTGTGCTCTGGGCGGGTTGCGGGGATTGCAAACACAGTCAAGCTGTGCTCTGTCAAGTCCATATTCTCATTGAGAAATTATTTACTCCAGGGTAATACACTGACTGACTGACTGAGCAAACTCAGGGAGGCAGTGAAGGACAGGAAGGCCTGGCGCGATATGGTTCATGGGGTCACAAAGAGTCGGACAAGACTTAACAAATAAACAACAAAAATACCCTGACAGCATTTTCTGGCTATATGGATCAACACTTTAAATGGGGTTTATAGTTGCTACATCTGGAAAAGAGAGGTTTTTTATTTTTATTTTTACTTTTGTTTTGTAATTATATAGCAGTATCATTGGTACACTTAGTATATTGCATTTGGGGAGCTGTGGTTAAAATCATGGAAAGGAGGAGAAAGAGAAAGAGAAACTTGATATGATTAAGAATGACTGGAATTTCAGTCTTAGTGATTACCTGGAATTTTAAAAAAACTCCTAATGAAATGCTATGCAAATGATATAATATTAACAATTATGCGACCACAAAACTCCATATGACAGTTGATGAAAATCATAAAAGATTTTGACTGCCTTTCTGAATACAAAACTAATGAAAAGAAAACTAAGATAGTAACAAGGCATTTTTTAAGTTTTTTTTTAACCTGCCTTTATTATTTTGTATAAATAACTCAAAATGGTGAACATACCTAATACTCCTTCCTCCTCCTATTTTCCTCACAACAACAACCTTGTGCAGTGAGCTGGTTTTAACGTCTGAAGAAGAAGACTTCATGAAAAAAAAAAAGATTGGATGTGAAATAATAAAAGATTTAGTGAATATTGCAGGACTGACAAAGAACAATCAATAGATTTATATGGAATGGGGGAAAATGAGTAAGATTCAAATCTTGCAAGACTCAAAAGAAAAAGGCAGTTTAGTATTTCCTTAGACCGTATTACCAAGAAAGTTGTCTATAAACAGAATGGATAAAATTCCGGAATATTAGAACATCAATGATAGAAGTAGCAGGGCTAGCTAATGGATCTCATGTAATGGACCTGTGTGCCTATGGTACAAAGAAACAAAAGAAGAAAAGAATCTGAAGGGACATATTGTAAGATAAGTTTTGTCCAGCAATCTCACCATCAGTATCACCATTAAATGCTTTTTACTTTAAGGATAACTACAGTAAGAAAGATGTAATCACATAAGTATGTCAGTATGATATATTTGGATTCAGGAAACAGATTAAAGACACAAGAATTGTTCCATGAAGGAAGGAACCTACCATGGTTATTTGCAAATAACTGGAAAGATAGAGGTGATCTTTAAAAAGAAGGAACCTTGAAAAAGATGACAGAATTTAAAAAATGTATCCACAACCAAGATCACTTATTAGGTTCTATCTATAAATTGTTACTGAAATATGATGCAGAGACAGAGCAAATAAAAAACTGCATGATAAAATGGATGCAAAATTTTGAAGAAGTAATCACAGTGGATCAATGGGAAGAGTTATGGGGGAAAAAATCAATAAAATTTACTCCAAGCTATAAATTTGTTATAAAATGTTTCATAGAAGGTATATAATTCTGTCAACAATTGCCAAGATGGACAAATCATATAACAATAAATGCTGGAAATGCCATAACAAAGAAGGAACATTCTATCATATGCGGTGGTCCTGCAAAAAAATTCAAAAGGGGTGGAAAGAAATAGATCAAAACATTCTGCAAATTTTGAAAATAGAATTTGAACTGAAACCACAAACATTTCTATTAGGAATGATTCCAGAGAGCATAAATGAAAAATATCACAATTTATTGAGATATATACTGACAGTAGCAAGATATTAACTTGGCATAACATTGGAAAAGAGAAACCCTGCCAATGATACAAGATTGGGAGACCAAGACTGGAGAATATGTGACAAAGAGAGATGGAAAGATTCAACACTATCCACCGTGGAGGAATGTTTGGTGAAATTGACAGATCTTGCTGAGATGGATAAACTAACTTCGTTGATCAGAGAAAAGACATTATATTTATTGGTGACCAGAAACCTCTGATGGACTTCTTGCATAAAAATGAAAAAAATGAGCTTGTGATTTATGGTTTTGATGATTAGACAGGATAGTTTATAGAAAGAAGAGTATTATGATGTAACTTTAGAGACAGGTTAAAAAATAATTGTATTTAGAACTACTGTGAAGAATATTGGAAGCCACTACTTTGTATCTTTTTTCTTTCTTTTGTATTTTTCTTTAACTTTTTTTCTTGCAATTTTTGCTTTCTCTTTGATTTCTTTCCTTTCCTTTTTTCTTTTTTTCTTTTCTTTACATTAGTTTATATTAGTTTTTAAACTTTTAAAAAAGTTTTAATAAAAATTATATATGGAAGAGAATATGTGGCTAAAAAGAAATTGACTGTATATGTCCACAATACAAATCTAACTAAATTTAAGTAGGAATGGCTCCCTTACATACCACATATTACACAGCAAAACAAGCTAAGACATTTAGAATATAGCTTTTGAAGAAAAGAAAGAAATTGATTTTAAAACCACTGGGGAAAAAATGACTCAAATAGATATGAGCAATAACCATTCAAGTTTAAAGCAAAGTATAAATGTCTAAGCAGTAGTTAGTGCCTGGGATAAAGAAAAATGAAAGGAAGGGGGAGAGTGTGCTATTGAATGCTTCTTTTTACAACCTATTTTTTATTATACTATATCTTCTTGCATCTCTGTTTTTGATCTTTCACTTTTGTACAATGCTTACATAATAATAAAGCTAATAAAATTAATTTTAAAAACTTCCAGTAATTTTATCTGGTGTTTTGAAACACTGATCATAAAAGAGCTACGCTTCTTCCTGTGACCTCAGCACATCCAAGTCCACCAGATTCAGCCATTCAATGGTGCCTTTCTACTTTTCTCCCTTCAGATATACTGTATGAGGACTACAACATACAGTACAATGTTTGCATCTGGCATGGTGGTTATTGGTGTTGCTGGCTGGGAATTCTTAGAACTGTATTTCCAGTAAAAGTGTAAAATATCAGGTTAGGGAAGGCTGGTTTAAAATCCAGTATGCCCCCCATAAATGCTTTTAAGAAGTATTTTTCAAAGATTTCCCCAACCCCTCCCCACTTTAAATAACTATCTATCATTACTGTAAAGATAACACATTATTCATGTTCCTGACCTGCTTTGTGCAGCGTGGAAAATGATGGTGGGTAGCATTAATGTGCAGAGGACCTTCTTGCATAAATAAAACCTTGCCTAGCCAACAAGTGAATGAGCCATAGCAAAAATAAACAGAGTAATGAAAACACGCAGTGTCTAATGAGTCTCTGTTAAGCAGCTGACATTTGGAGCAGCATCGCTTTTCTCAACCCTCCTTCTAATGAGTGGGCTTTCTGCAGGTCTTTTGTTTTAAATGAAAAAGAGGTGACGTCCTGTAATTGTTCTCCCTTCCATATGAAATGATACTCTGTATTCCTGTCAAAGACTATTGTTCCCAGCTCTATTTTATATTGGGATCCATTCACTTATATATATATATATTACAGGACGTCACACCACTGTGTGTGTGTGTATTTAACTTCTGGTGCCACGTTATTAGTATTTCAGATCGAAACCCCCAGATTCTACAGCCATAAACCAGGGAGTGAAATGTTAACGAAGGCAAGCCCTCATTGTCTAAACTAGACTTGTTAAAAAAATTAGAGAGATGCTGATTTTTCCTCTCTTCTCCCCAGACCCTGGGAAATGGTCCTAGGAAATGCGACTGTTTAGGACCAAGCTCTTTCCTGACCATCAGAACTAGCCCATCTTCATTAGCCATAAGCCAGTTTGGGGGAAGAAATGCCTGACATTTCTTTGTGGACTGCTTCAGTCAATGTGCTGTTCCGACTCCAGACAGTCGTGTGACTGCCAACGCATTTGCTAAACTGAACAGGGCTCAACGCCCACACAACTGACTTTTCCAAACAGATCGAAGGAAACACAGATGGAAAGACTGTATATTCACTGAATTGTACTTTACTGATGTTATTAAAACTTTGTATACTGGTTTTTATTTTGTTAAAAAAGCCCACGTGATTTCTCCAAATAATATGGGCCCATCCTTTCTACTATTATGCACTTTGAATTATAATCTAGAGGGAGGACAGAGATGGCCAACCTCAGGCTGTTGAGGTTGCAAGGTGAGAAGAGATGAAGAAAGGAGGAGGGGCAGAGCTACAGGTAAGTGGAGAGCACTCCTGCTTTCTATGACATCTACTTTTTCTTCTTCTCATATCCTCTCTCGTCTCTCCTCAAGGCAGCAGCAGGCAGCAGAAAACTCTTACCAGCTCTTATCCCTTGTAAATTTTTTATTATTACAGCCAAAGGCCAGAAACATAAGATATAACCCAAAACTGCAAACTGCAACATGCTTATACAAAATTATATACCCACATTAGAATGGATAAGGCATGGAGAACTTGCAATAATTAATGCCTCATTTTTATTGCTGCTGCATGATATTGCTGCCATTGGAGCTTAGGACAAGGGACAGCTGACACTAATCGGAGAGGCATACGGCAGACTGGCTATTCCTGGTCCAGGAGATGCTGAACCAGTGCAAGACATCTGGTTGTTTCTGTTTCTCTTCTCCAACTACAGAATCGGCTCAAGCGATGGGTGAGTCTTATTTCTATTCTAACAATAAGGCAGAATCCTTGTCACAAGTGATGACAACACAGTAGCTTCAGGTATGTGGGGCCGGCACCCACAATTCTATCTTAGGATGACTTCCTAGAGCTGTTGCCAGCAAGTCTACCTCATTTTGACGGAGGAGATCCCCACTGTACAACCCTCTGGTTCCTTCTATCCCACAAAATATGTTAATCCCTAAAAAGCATTTGCCCTATTAAAAATTGCACAAGGCAGGAGGCCCCTCAGTCCAAAAGATTGGATTTTTAAACCAGCATTAAAAATTATCTTTTCAGCTTGGCCAGAAGGAAAGCCGAAGGAAATCAATATATACTCCAGTGAGACATGGAAGCTGATTTATGAGTTGGGAAATCATTTTTCTAATTAATTACTGTATTGCTTGAGCATGGCTATTTATTTATTTATCTGTCCAGTTTACTTTTTTTTTTTTTTTGAAGAACAGGGCTATAAACATGAGCTGTATGTTTTTATGAAGATAATAGCCTGCAGTATTACATGTTCAAATCCATGAATGGGGGGGGAAAAAAAGCAAAACCACACTAACACTCATACCCCATTTCTGCCCCATCCTTTTGCCTCCACACTAAACAGCAAATACTACACTAAACACTTTGGGAGTGGGGTGGTATACAGGTAGTCCTCGGCCACAGTTGGGACCAGAATTTCCATTGCTAAGTGATGTGGATGTAAAGTGAGATGTCATGTGACAGCATCACTTAGTGACAGCAATCCCAGCACTCCCCATTGCCATCGTTAAGTGAATTCCACCGGACTTCAGCCAAGGACCCACCCCAATCCAAGCCATTCTGGGCTTGGTCCCTCCCAGCCTTGAGCCTCAATAAGGTAAGGAACTGCCTCCAACTCCCCCCACCCTATCTCTCCCCCCCATCTCTGCCCTTTTGGCCACCCTGCACCCTGCATGCACCAGCGCCCACCTTCCCCCTTCACTGCCTTGAATGCATGAGGCCCATCCTTCCCCCTTTGCTCGCTTGCACACACGCACCCTGCCCTACTTCCTTCCTTCACTCACTCCAGGACTCTCCAGGGCGCTTCTGGCACTGAAGGAGCTCTGCAACTGACATTGGAAGCTGCTGGCCGTTCATGAGACTTTCTCCTTCCTTCTGCAAAGCCCCAGAGCTATAGTGCAGTGCAAAAGGAGCACAGTGCATGCGAGCAAACAGAAGGGGGAGCGGGGACCTGATGCATGTGAGCTAGGGAAGGAGGGTGCTGGTATGTGTGAGTGAGCGAAAGAGGGAGGGAGGGAAGGAGGGCATGATGCATGCGTGTGAATGAAGGACAGAAGGAGTGCATGATACCTGCATGTGAGCAAGGGAAGGAGAGTACTGGTTCATGTAAGCGAAGAGGAAAGGAGGGCACAGTGTGTGCGTGTGAGTGAAGGGGGGGGCAGGAGGGTGCAGTGTGCGCAAGCAAAGAAAGGCCAGGTGAGTGGGGGAAACTTATCCAAGTGACTTGTGACCTCCCCTGGTGGCTTCCCCACTGACTTTACTTGCAGAAAGCCGGCAGGGAAGGCTGCAAATGATGATCACGTGATTGTGGGGTGCTTGGCAACTGGTCATAAGTGCCAATGGGTTGCCAAGTGCTCAGATCATGATCACATTACTGTGGGAGTGCTGCAATGGCCGCAACTTTGGGGACCAGTCGTAAGTCAATTTTTTCAGCACCATCATAACTTCGAACAGTCGCTGAACGAATGGTCATAACTCAAGGACTACCTTTATAGGGAAGAGAGTAAGATATCCTTCAAGACACTGTGAAACTCTCCTTATTACACCTTTGGTTGGAACCAGGCACTCCAGAAAGATGGGTATTAGATGAATAACAAAACATTTTAAATCAGATAGCTATGCAAACCTTCCAAGCTGTCCTAACAAAAATAAGCCTGATTAGGTCCTGAGCACAAAGACAGTCCACACTTCAAGCTCATCTGCTGTAGGCATTGCGATATTGTGAGCCCCACCTTTATGATGTTTAGAGCATAACACTTTGAGGCCTCCAGCACTATGCAGGATTTCAAAAGAGCCTTTCCCTTCAACTAAGTTTCAGTTGAGACACTCCTTCAGAACTGTCCCCTAATACAATAGGGCCTGTGGTCCTGAACAGCAAAGGGATCACCTTGCTTCATTTTGTTCTGTGTAGCTGTGTAGCTCATCTTCAGCATAGCCCCTCCACAGAAGCCACTCTTGGTGTTGGCTGTAGGATGCTGAGAGGAGCACAAGGCCATGCTCTCCTTTCCATCTTCTCCAGGGGCACCTGCCAAAGCTGGAAGAGGCTTTACCATGCCAGCAGAAAAGCCTCTTCTGAGTTTGGAGACACAGGGGACTGAGGCAGGGGAGGCCTTGAGATGATACAAAGTGCTTTATTAAGGCAAACTGTATTGCTTCTTTGCTTCACTAAAGAGCATCCTATTGCCTCTGGGGCATGATGTGCTTTATCCTTTCAACATATCCTAGCAGTTGGAAGCTAGGAGGGGTGGGTAAGGTCAGGTGTAACCTAACCTCACACCTGGAGTTTTTATATGCAACTTCTCCTAATATATGTATTTGATTCTAGCTTCATTCTCTTTTTATTGGGGTGATAAAAGGAGAGTTTGTTATCCTATTAGAATGCAAATAAAGGATTCATTGCCACTAAGGAAGGCAGCCAGAAAATGAGAGAAATTAGAAGGGTGACATGAGGCTAGAAGAAGAAGAAGCAGTTGATAGTTGGACAGAACAGAGAATGGAAACAGAAACAGAGATAGCTATTACATATTGGTAATTTCTGTTCATTCTATAATCAGCCCCAGGAGAACTATAGGCCTGGGCCTGTAGAACTGTTTAACACCTTCTCTTCACCTTACCAGGCAGCCAGTCTGATCTGGGCTCAGAAACTAAGCAGGGTTAGTGCCTGGACAGAATGTCCCCAGGGAATACTGTACAGATCTGGGAAGATGCAGAAACATCCTGGAAGAAGAATGTACTGAACAACTTCTGTATTTCTGCCAAGAAAACTACATGGATGGTAAACTCAACTTGAAGGGGGCTGTACTATTACTTTACTCATCTAAATGAACTTTGGATTTTTATTGTCCTGCCTGCCAAACAATTCAGAAGCTCAGACGTTTCCAAAATCATGTTTGTGTATTGCATGGTAGGTGTGTGTGGGTGTGTCTGCTCTTCAAAGAAAAAGTATCCTGCAATATTTGCCCACTTAATGGGATCTGATAAAAAATGCAAAATCCAGCCAAGATTCATTTCCACTCTCTAGGCCAGAAGGGTTCCTGCTTTGAAACAGCAAACCATTCTTCCAAGGTTGATATGTTCAAAGGGTTTTGCCCAAATAGAAGAGATAACTAGGTGCCAGATTATGGAAACACTCCCGCCTCTGCATGATTGAGTGGTTTTTGCTACTGAATAATTATTTTTCTTCTTAGCTGTTTTTCTGCCAGTGAAGAAATTATAAAGGCACCTCCCATTTGAAAAACAAACCTTGAGCAAATATTCCCATTCCAAGCATGGAACATATTTATTCCATCTTTGGTGAGATGCAAATGCTTGGCATCAATGTCAAGTAATAAAATTAAAGTGCATTGTATTGTACTAGCTCATATGCACTAGAACTGCATTACCGGTTCCTCTCTTTTTCTCTCATCTCCAGTAGCTCATTATTTCCTACAAGAATTGGTTATTTGGAAATGGCATCATTTGTTCAGCTGCCTGCACTTTCCCAGTTGAAGCATCAGGGCTTTTTTCTCCTCTCTATTTCCAAATCTATAATTAGGTTGGCTTGAAAAAAGAGAGAGAGAGAGAGATCCTCTGCTCCATTTTAAAATAGCCCTGCACTGCCATTGTAAAAAAATATGCAGATCTTGGAATCAAAACAGGATACTTGGTGGTTTCATTTGCATGCAAATACCAAACATTTATTCTGCATTTGTAGATGATTTTAATTTCCTTTGTTCCGCTCCAGAAGCTAGGGAAATAACTGCTTCCACTTAAGAGTTTTGGGGTTAATTTTTGACGGTATGTTTAGAAATGCTCATGGTTACCCAGGGTCCTGTGTTCAGTTCAGAACTATTTAGAAATAATTTACAGCCGCTATCAAGCCATGATTCTCACACCAGGGCAAAAAGTGGCAGGCTCTTCACAACTTTGCATACTTGGCCACTCTTCAGATCAGTGGTTCTCAAGCTTGGCAGCTTGAAGATATGTGGACTTCAGCTCCCAGAATTCCCATGATGGATGAGGAATTCTGGGAGTTGAAGTCCACACATCTTCAAGCTGCCAGGCTTGAGAAACTCTGCTTTAGATCTTGGTACCTTTAGCAATAAGGACAAAAAATA